CATATTGGAAGTGTCTCGTGAAATATTCAGCACATTTTGTGGCTTATTTCTTCTTTTAAACAACGCGATGTATGGGCGAGTTTTTGGTCGGTTTTCAAGGTAGGTGAACAAGTATCTATTATTTTTTCGATTCACAGATTTTTTTTACGAAGTTCTAGATATTTTCCCTTGATTGTCATATCGATTAACTTTTATCATGTTGAATGTGGGGATGGTAGACAACCTATAATTTTGCGGGTAGACCAGTTTTGAATTCCGAGGTCCAAAACACGTACGTTTTCCATTCCCGGGTTTCTCACAGAGCCGTGTTATTACTTTTTTTCGCATTAGTACGAGCCTTTGCCTTTTTTCTTTTAAAGGCCAAAACAACTTTATTAGTTTTATGGATATTCACGTCCAACATCTCGACTCACTTTGCCGAATTTGTGGGGATGAAATTGAAGATCATAAGCGCAAGGTAGATACTAACCGCTTTGTTTCTGAAATTCACCAAATCTGGAAAGATTTAATGTTGCTGGATTCTCCAAATGTTCATCCACCGTTAAAAAACAATCAAAGAAAGAAGGCAAATTTCAAGTGTAAATGATGTATTTCGCTACGCATTGAACATGCACTGAATCTGGGATCAAATTAAAACATTGCAGGTACTACAGCAAGCAAGGAAAGCACCAGATGCGTGAAGTCAACACGAAACAACACCAAAAAACAAAAAAGAAAAATTAATAAATTTGAACTACTTTTTATTCTTGTTATGATGACTGGTTCTTTGATTCTTGTCCTGTAGAAGCTAATAGGTAGTACCAGTCCTGTTTTGTATTATCTCAACAAATTTTCGCACTCTCTCTAAAGCTATTTTTACACGGGACCAGTTTGTTTCTATCAAAAATCTTGCAAGCCATGCCAGTGAAGCCACGACATGCGATCGGTCCGGAATCAGTTCGAACACCCAGTGATTCCTTGCAATGAATAATGCTCTTATTCTCTTACATGAAATGTTTTCTTTGAAATATTAAATGTGAAACCTAGACGAGTACCGTAAGCTCATCTTTAATTCTGTCCGTCGACTCTGTCCGTTGTTTTGAAAATATTTGAGCACTGGGGCGATGTTTTGATTTGTTTGTTGATAAACACAAGCGCGCCTTCTCATTGGTTGAAAAGTGTCGCGTGACCAGCTGGCCCTGTCCTTAAATTTAGGGATATTCCGGACTGAGTATGGGAGCCTGCAACCTGATATTGAACACCTATGTTTTGATTAATTGACAGCTGTCAAAATAGTGTTTCTGCTGACCAGTATCGACTGACGGTATCGCGGGCTCAGGTATCGACCCACTGAGTTCGAGTGCTTTTTTGAAGGTATCCGCTGACAAGTTGATCGCAGGCTCAGGTTCAATTTTTTAAAAATGTGTATAAAATAAGTCGTGTTCAAGAGCCGCACTTTTAAAAAGTTGCTGCTTTTCAAATGATCGCAGGCTCAAAATCAATTTTTTTAAAATGCATATGAAAGAAGTCGTGTTCATGAGCCGCACTTTTAAAATTTTGATTTCGAACTGACCTCGGACGCGAAAATTCAACCGGCTTTTACATGCAGGGAAGGCAATCGCTTTTGACTTTTGTCACTGTCACGCGTTGATCACGCTCTACGTCCAATTTTTATGTTCTGATTGGTCAAAATTTGACAGGTGAGTTCATGCAGAAAATTTATGCAGCATCTAGAAACTTGCTTACTGATAGCTGAAGCTGACAGAGTTTTGTGTCATCTTGTGATGTTTTAAACTGTCTTTTTCTACTTGATATACAAAATGAAATACAGCTGCTATCAAAATTGTTCTGTAATTCATGGCTGGTTTGTTCATTGCGCTTTTTGTTGACAAATGCACCGCTTGTCAAAGTCGTTGGAAATCCGATTTCGGATGACATCGTTTTCAAAAATGAGCTTACTCACTTGCCCTTGCTTGAGGGTAAGAGGGTTGAAAAGTCTCAAGCGATCCTGGAACACTTGATGACCTTCGGAAGCAACATCTCCACTGGTAAGCCTGAGCAATTATTGTCTTTGATGTGTATTTTTTTTGTTTTCGGTTTCCTGAAGTGGAGCGTATAGTTTATAGGGCTTAAGTTTCTACACGAGCAATGATCTAAGCTACAATAGTATCAAGTTTAAAAAGCCTTTAGACATTTTTTGACCGCAAATTCAAAGAGAAGGTTCCGAAGAATATTTAGTTATGATTTTGGCTGTAAATAGAAAGCTCTGAGCGATTTTCTTGCCGCGAGTTCATCTTGAAAAAGTGCAAACAGCGGGAAGCCGGCTTAAAACATAAATAAGCTTATGCTTACCTGACTCATGATTTTCAGAGACACTTCACTCTTAATACTTGTCTTCGTGAATGAAACTTATTGTCTCTTTACATGTTTCACCGAATTATATTTGTTTTATTGATTGTTAGTGGTCCCTCTCGCAATTTTTAGCACTGCACGGGTTCTTTCCAGTCGAACATAAAACATCGCATGCAGAAATACTCAAAACGCCGGGCGTAAATAGCTCGCTTTTAAAGATTACACATAACAAATCATAAACAGTTTTCTAAATAAAGGGAAATAAAACCTAAACATAACAAATTCTCTATCATGTTGAAGCGTAAATGTTAACTCTATTAATCGGCACCGCAAATATGGTGCCTGTCAAAAGTAAGAACCCGTCCGGCTGGCCGAAAAGGTGGTTTTGGGAATTTTTTTATCGTTTTCACTAAAAGCACATAATTATTACCCTGCATATCACATAGGGCCAGATTTTTCTTACTGAAAAGTCCCGGCATTATGGAATTTTCTTCATGAAAACGTTTTATAATCTGGCAATGCTATAATTTGTTGTGCAAAGGAAGCGCGTGCTTTTATCGTCCTGGATATTGAATGAGTGTAATTTGTCTTGCAAAATTGTGAAAAACTGCAGAATTATAGTTTTAAATAGGGCAAAAAAGAACAAAATTCCGAGGTCTGTATAATAAAAAAGGGCCTCATAGTACTGCGCTTACCTGAGACGTGATGAGAAAAATTATGTTTAAAAGGCTGGTTTACACGCCACCAGATTCGTCGCCAAGATTTACTTGTAAAGTTACTAAACTTGTCGAACACAAAAAATCCGGCCTGATTTTTTATTTTGGCCTCCCTTTTAGACCGAGGAATACAAGGTGTAAATTGGCTGCCACCAAGGACTATCGTGGCGCGTACTGTGTTTCTTTAATTCTTTTGATTTTAAAAAATTGTATTTCGGGGTCATCCAATCATCCATGGTCTCTCAAACGGAGCAACAGCTAATGCAAATACAATACACGAATAGGTCTATTTGTTTTCCAGGCCTAATCTACTGTGATCGAACATGATTGCTATTTTTCGGTGTACAAATAAGACTATTTAATAACTCGATGTAAAATTTGTTTCACTCTTGGACGGTCAAATTATTTTTCTCTAAAATCACTCAGCCTTTGCCTCAAAAGTCAAATGAATGTGCCCTGATCTGTGGATTACAAGTTTATTGTTTGATTTAAATTATGAATTTATTAACGGGAGAGTAGTTAGTAAAATGGGTATCCTGGAGCACACTCACCGGAATTCTGGCGCAATTAAAAGTAAATGTAAAATCCCAGATTATGCAAGGGAATATAAGAATGAATATCTTTTTCAGGTATATTTAAAAAATAATGAATTTCCAGAATATACTCCTAATTATTATCGTGAAGCTATTGATAGTGGTTTTAATAAAATTTATAATACAACCCTAAGTAAAACTAAAATCCCAGATTATGCAAGGGATTATAAAAATGAATATCTTTTTATAAGAGGGATTGATAAGACATGTAAAAAATTTGTAAAGTTAATAAAAGAATACGAAGAATTTTATGATAGTTATGAAGCTCTTAGAATCATAAGTAAAATAAAAGAATTAAAAAGATTAGGTTTTTTTTAATAATATTAGAAGAATGAGATTTGAAATTGATGATGTTGAAAATATAGAATTTATAAAATCAGAAATAGAAAATTATAGAGATTATTATCGTGATCCATATACTAATCATTTAAATAAGGAACTATATAATATAGAAGCAGAAAGAGATAATCCTGGTTTTAAAAGTTTTTATAAACATTTTACTAGATTTTATAAAGAATTAAATTATAGGAATGAATATCTTTTTATAGGAGGGTTTAATAAGACATGTAAAAAAATTGTAAAGTTGATAAAAGAAAGAGAAGAATTTTATGATGGTTTTGAAGCTCTTAGAATTATAAGGAGAATAAAAGAAATAAAAAGAAATAATATTAGTATAGAATTTGAAATTGATGATATTGAAAATTTAGAATTTATAAAATCAAAAATAGAATTATATAAACATTATTATCATGATCCATATACTGGTCATTTAAATAAGGAACTATATAATATAGAAGCAGAAAGAGATAATCCTGGTTTTTATAAACATTTTTCTAAATTTTATAATGAATTATTAATAGATAATTACTACTATTAAAGGAATTACACATTTTTATTTAATCATATAATAAAAAAATGGAAGAGTTATTAAAGGAATTTGAAGATAAAGGTTGTGAGGTTTTTGTTGGATGGAAAGAAAAAGAAAGAAAAAAACAATGAGTGAAGCAATGAAAAAAATAAAAGAGAGTGGTGATGAGAATAAGATTAAATTAGCAAAAAGATTAGCAAGGTATTATGGTATTTTTCATATGGGACTTATAACAACAAATCCTGATTTTCCTTTTGAAGAAGATAAGTATGGGTTGCATTATGTTCATATTTACTTAGAAAATTTTGATTCAGCAAAGAGAAGTATTGCTGGTGTTATTAAAGCCCTTGCGGAGGATGAGTCACTAGATCCTTTTTTTAAATATCTTATGTTTACTCATCTTTACTCTCCAGATGAAATAGCTGAAATTGATCGTGAAGAATTAAGGAGAGAACAAGAAATGATTAAAAAAATAATCTAATCAAATAATAA